GGCAAGATTGGGACGCGATTTCAGGCCATTGTTTTCAAATTCAGGTCAGTGGCTGCTTCAAATTCAGGTCAATGGCTGCTTCAAATTCAGGTCATTGGCTGCTTCAAATTCAGGTCATTGGCTGCTTCAAATTCAGGTCACTGGTCGCTTCAAATTCAGGTCGCAATGAAATTTTTTTGAGGGATGATCCGTACAACACGAACCAGGCTTGCTATATGGACATGGTGAGTGCGCCCAGTTTGAAAGCGCATCGGATGCAACGCCGATTCCGGCCGCTCTCGAGACATACCGTCGATAGTATGGTGATGAAAGGTGAAGACGAGGGCGATGAGACTGTCGATTGGACGTTTACTGATCAAGGGGTGAGTACTGATCGATCGATCACTGCTCTGATCACTCTTTTGATCACTCATTTGATTTGCTTGGTGGAAAATTTCACTCGTTTCGAAAAATTTTGATCAGGCATTTGAGGGTAATGATCATTTGGGAGTGATTTTTGGGTTGGGAAGGGGAAAATGAGGGAACGGCAATCTGGGATGCTAGTTTTTAAAAATATTTTCAGTCGAAGATCAATATCGAGTCAACTGATTCACAGTACGCTTTCCCGTGTTATATGAGTTGGGCAATGCATAAGTATATGAATTTACCCGAGGTTCGACGGGCACTACACATTCCCAAGGATTACCCGAAGTGGGTACAGTGCAGCTATAAAGTATCGATGGAGTATTATTGGGATACGATCAAAGACGACCTATCAACCTACGACGTTTTCAAGGAGATATTCCCGTCAGGTAAGGAAATTTATTTTTATTTTTTCTGGTGGAGAGAGTTACATTGCTGGTGGTATTGTGCAGGGTCGTGTAGGGACACGCGACCTGGTTTGAATTCAGGATACGCGATTTGCGCTTGATTTCAGAGCACCCAAAACGTATCCTAATTTACAATGGTGATCTGGATACGGCGTGTAATTTCCTTGGTGCCGAATGGTTTGTGGAGGAGAGACTGGCGCCGGGGTTTGCGTTGAAGGAGTCCGGACGATCCGGATGGATGTACGCGAACGGAGCGGAGTATCGACGCTCGATTGCCGGATATCAGAAACATTTCTGGCTTCCGGACGGAAAGAAAACACTGGATTTGTTGACGGTTAAGGTGAGCATCTGATGAGCTTTCTATTTAGCCTATATATCAGCCCACTGGTATTACCTGGATTACCTGGATTGGTTGGTATTACCTGGATTAGATTGGTGTTACCTGGATTGGTTGGTATTACCTGGATTAGATTGGTATTACCTGGATTGGTTGGTATTACCTGGATTAGATTGGTATTACCTGGATTAGATTGGTATTACCTGGGTTAGATTGGTGTTATCTGGAGTAGATTGGTGTTATCTGGATTGCCTGAATTGGTATTACCTGGATTACCTGGATTGGCAAGCAGCAGGCTGTCATCCAACGTTTGTAACGTTGCTAGCGGCCACAATGCTCACGCCATGTTTCCGTGCGCATTGTTTTAGCCTCAATTCAAGCCACCCGGCTGGCTGGCTAGCTGGCGAGCAGGTCAATTGAACACAACCGAGTAATTAATTAGTTAATTAATTAGTAATTAATTAGTCGCCGTGAATACTTTGTTGCATAATTAAACTTTGTTGTTGCATTCAGGGTGCCGGGCATTTCGTACCGTTGGATCGAGCCGGACCCTCTCTGCAGATGATCGATAATTTTGTGCGAAACACCGGAAATTACAGCCAGCTGGTACCATACGACACCCAGCCGAAACCACTTCTCGCCAGATATCGTCCACCTGAGAAACCAAAACGTAAATTTTTTTTGCGATTCAGGTTTGAAATTCAGGTTGCCTCCCCCCTCCCCCAAAAATTGACCAAAATCCGCGTATCTCAAATCCTTTGAAAGTTCCCAAAAACCTTTGAAAGTTCCCCAAGAATGATAATTTGCTGAGAATTGGCTTTTAGAGACTCGAAAAGAGGCCGATCGCGTTTGGGATTTGCCCGGAATCACCTACGATCTCAACTTCAAACACTATTCAGGCTACTTGAGGCCATCGAAAGGGAATTATTTACATTATTGGTTAGGAATTACTTTTTATTCATTACTTTTTATTACTTTATGTTTGTTGATGGAAAAAAAGTAAAATTTTCGGAGAGAAACCTAAAATTTGGTACTGAGAAGCCAAAAAAAGGCACGATTCATAGGAGAAGGTCCCAAAAAAGGCACTGAAATGAGGTGTCCAGGGAGAGGGGCGCGATAGGAGCCCCAAAAATGGACTTCATAGCGGAGAAACTAGGGAGATTAGTCCCAAAAAGCGAGGTTCCATAGGGGGGGGGGNGACCATAAGTCATCGTGGGTGGTCTCCGTCAGGTTCATGGAATCGCAGCGAAGTCCGCCGGATGACCCGTTGGTGCTTTGGCTGAACGGAGGACCGGGCTGCAGCTCGATGATGGGACTGCTTACCGAGTTGGGTCCGTTTTGGCCGAATCCCGATAGTCGGACGCTCACCGAAAATGTTTACTCGTGGAACAAGGCTGGTTTTTTTGGTAAAATCTCTTTTTTTGGGATTTTTTTTACCAAAATTTTCATTTTTCCGGCAATAAATATCTTGAGAGATGGCAAAATTTTACGGATTTTTGGAAAATTTGCGTGGATTTTGGGTTTTTGAGGTATAATTTGAGGTTTTTTTATGCGTTTGAGGTAATTTTTTCGGTTTAGGTGGGATTTTTTTAGGTTTTTGGGGCGAATTTCGTGAAATTACAGGTTTTTTTCACAATTACNGATTACAGGTTATTTCAGGTTATTTTTTAGGTGGTGGAATGTTTTTTAAATGGTTTTTTATAGATTGCGAATGTGATATTTTTGGAATCACCACGACGAGTTGGTTTCTCATACCAGAATCTCACTGAAAACACTGACGACGTATTCAACGATAAGAAGGTTTGTTGTGGTTGCGGTTATTTTTCGGTTTTTTTGGGGAATTTTTGGGAATTTTTTACTTTTTTTGGGCAGAAAATGGGAAATTGGGCCGAAATTTGGGTGGTTTTGGTTTCGGAGAAATAATTTTTGGGAAACGGAAAATATTTTGCAGACAGCGAGTGATAATTTTCTGGCGTTGATGGATTTTTTGAGTGTTTACCCGGAATATTATGATCGGCCCTTCTACGTGACTGGTGAATCGTATGCGGGCGTTTATATACCAACGCTGGTATCGTTGATTATCGATAAGATACAGGTGAGGAACGTTTGATATGAGCTGTAGATTGTTTTTTTGGGAAAGTGTGTGGTTCCCGCGGGAAGGCAGTATGTCCCTGGGAATGTAATTTCAGGCTGG